ACTAGTGTGGTTCCCGGCCAGATAGTTCTTTGTGAATTTGGTTCAATTGACATATAAGCAAATAAGTCTCAAATAAGAGGAGATTTTAATAAATAACCGTTTGAAAGTAAAAAAAGTATGAAAGAACAATTAAGGTTGATTTTAAACAAGGAATGGCAATGCTTTAAAAGAAAGGGAAGATAAAGGAAGGGGGTACTAGGTTTATTAAAAATATGGATCAAATCAATGCAATACCCGGTAATCACTCCTCAAAAGAGGGGCTACAAGTGGTATTAGCGCACCGGTCATCATATCCATATCTACCCTTTCCCACCTCGTTTAAGGTACTAAAGCGCGGATTGGTCTCGAACACTATTGCATGCTATTACCCATCCCATTCCTATCAGTCCCGGAGGAACTTAGGACTACTATTCCTAAAAGGGGGGATATTGGGCTAATTTTGGTTTCAAAAGGTAAAAATCTAAGGCGACATACAAAAAAAATAATACGGCATGTTAAGGGAAACATGTAAACAAGTAAAGGCTCATGTATACCTCCTCAAAGAAACATATAAATAGCATGACTTGCACATATATTTAGAGTCTGATTAAAAATACTAAAGACGAGGGGAGTTCTATTATTGGAGAAGACCAGGTTAATACATAACTCAGATAAGAAGTCCGAATCAGGCCTGCCTGCTGGTTGTAGCAATTTTAAAAGGCGGATTCAATTTTATTGTTATTACCCTAAGGCTTGCCTAAGTGTTTGGGTGAGCTCTTAGAAGTGTGGCAAAGCGGAACAACTTTTAAACGAATGGTTTGAGACCCTATAGGCATACTTGCTAGACCTCGTTAAATAAGAAAATTAGATGATTTAAAACTGATTCAGAATAAGCTGGTTTTAAAACAGACTAGTTTCAGATTCTGCAGGCGATAGTATCTACTATTGCTGATTTTAAACCCTATGGACATGATATCTAACATTGAATGTAAATAGAAACGAACCAGATTATTTTACTTACTTTGGAAATCCCTATAGGCATGATTTCTACGAAAGGATACTGATTTTAATGATATCTGATTTTAACCATTTAGATCATAATAACATGGTATCCAAAATGCAGAATTAAACATGCATAATCTAGAACAACAGATCCTATAGACATGATTTCTATTGTGGCCATTTTTAGTTCCTATAGGCATGATTTCTAGATTGCAGAATTAAACATGCAGAATCTCAAGTCTTATAGGCATGATTTCTAAATTGCAGAATTAAACATGCATAATCTAAAATAATAGATCCTATAGACATGATTAGATTGTGGCCATTTTTAGTTCCCATAGGCATGATTTCTAAATTGCAGAATTAAACATGTAGAATCTTAAGTCCTATAGACATGATATCTACCCTTAAGCATGCATAATTCCCAACGCTTTTCACTAGCCAACCCCAGTGTTTATTACAGAAATTATTACAGACCTAGTAATGAATTACATCAGAAAAGTACAAAGAAAAGTTACAACCAGAGGAAGCCTGATTCTTGACTTCCTCTCTTAGTTATGGAATAAACCACCTCAAATGCCATTGATCCAAAGCCTTTCTCAGACTTGAGAGTGTCAAAGTTCCCTAAGGGTCTCAAAGGGACCCCAGGCAGTGCTCACACCCAAGTTACATAACCAGAATAGAGATGAGTGCAATGTGGAAATGCCAGCCCTTATGTGTCCAAGTTCAGAGGGAGCTCATGGGTCCCAAGGTAAGGCTCACATAAAGGGGGCAGACCTTAAGTCTAAGAAGATAGTGGAAGTGCAGGAATAGAGTTTTAAAACTGGGGGAGGGGGTAAAGGAGAGGGGTAAAGGGTGGTTGGGAAACAGTTACAGAGTTGATAACTTCATACAAAAGGGGGTCGGGGTTGGGAATCATTGAAAAGAGCCTATGTACTTAGGCAAGGGTCAGATTTGGGCATGCACAGCAATAAAAGATGCTGACATGCCTATAAGCTCACCAGAACACACAACACTAGAGAAAACATAGAGGTTATGGTCCTAGGGGAATCAAGTTTGGGTCATGGACAACAATGTTCAATGCTTCCATTCCCCATACCAAACATAGATACCAAACACGTTGGGGATGGGGATTTAATGTTCACAAGTAAGTAACAGAAACAGTAATTCATAATAGAAAAGGCAGAATACAATATGCTTAATGATGGAACTGAGTTAAATACAAACAGGATTGAAAAAAACAGTAAGGAAACATGTTATTGTTGATGCTAAAAATTAGTTAGAACATACCAGTAAGAGAAGCAAAGTGCAGTAAAGAAAAGTAAGCAGGACTCCAAAATCTAGCCTTGGCTTTTAGCCGGCTAAACAGACAATAGCACAAGTAGCAGTAAAGCAAGAGTGTTTTTAAGTGTAAGTGTGTGTTTTGAACTTAATATTGTTCGTGTTTTGAAAGAAAGAAGTATAGGGTATTTATAACTTTCTGAAAACGAGTAAAAGAGAAGTAACAAGCTGCAAACATGGAAACAATCACAATTCATAATCAATTATACAAGTGATTGCCTTTAATTAAAGGATCGCTTGCTTAACAGGCAGTAACAGGTTCAAAATAAGGAAAGAAATCAATTGGTAAGCAGGCTGATAGTTTCCATAAAAGAAGTAGTAGAAAATTAAGTAAGCAATCAAGTCTAGATATAGAAATACACTAATTTTGGAAAGAATTCAGTAAGACAAGACAGGAAAAGAAATCAATTAACCTTAACAGGCGAGTGAAATCAGAATTTCACGAAGGAAAAATTTAAAATCAGTCACGAAATTGAAGGTCAATCAAATAAGGAAACTCAACACATAAATAGAGCGCACAAACACTAAACATGCGAGGCCAAACTATTGGCAAAAAGAAACTGCATGAAATAATAGCACAAAGTTAGCAGACAACAAATATTTGAAGCATGATAGTCATGTAGGTCAGGTCACATTGAATTAGTAGTGAAGAAACATAGAATATCAAAGCATGCGAAGATCTAACAGTAGCAGGTGAAGAAAGCCCCCTTTGAAAAATTAGGGTTTCGAGCATAATCGAGTTTTAGAGAAGATAGAAACCCAGGATCGAAAAATAAGAGATTTTGAAATAAAGAACTTCAAATCGAGTCATGTACTTAAACAAACGGTCCCAAACCCAAAGCCATAGGGTTTTCAACAATAGTAGAGTAGAATAAACAAGCGAATCAGACAAAACTCAAACAAACAAGCATTCGTCTAATAAACAGTTTGGGCTTTTAACATGCAAACCCAGGTAGAAGAACGATATAAGCAAACATAGCAAAATATGTCCAGAAAATCAGAGAAAAGTTTCTAAATAACTTAACAAGAAAACCCTAATCGGAAAAGATAAAGAGTTTTGAAAGAAGAGTTTTAAAAGAAACTTCGAGAAAAATGCTTAGAAGTTCAAAGCAAATATAGATCTGAAGCAGATCTAAAAGAAATCGAAAGAACCTTAGAGCTTAGGATTTCAGAAGAACCCCAAATGATGAGAAAGAACCAACGATCTAAGCAGGAGAGTTAAAAGTCTGAATCGAATAGCCATGGCTTTCCAGAGAAAGGTCAGAGACTATCGGAGAAAAGTCATCGAGCAAAGACATGACAAAAACCCCTTCAAGATCTGGTCATGAGACCATAGAAACGAACACGTAGAAGCAATGGGAGGATGATACAGGTCTCCGATGACCTTGGTAGGCCATGGATTAGGGCGGATTAGGGTGGCGGCGGCTAGGATTTGATGGGGTTGTAGAGAGAATTTAGGAGATGAGGGGTTTCAGAGGTAGCGGATTATGAAGAATGAAAAGGGTTTGGGGGGTCTTTGGGTTTAATTAGGAAAGGATAATGGGAGCCGTTGATCTAAACGATCAACGGCTGGGATTAAATGGGAGTTCGGGTAGGTCATTTAAATGGGTTGTGGGTCGGTTTGAATGGGAATTGGATCGGAGTAATTGGGCTTCAAATTGGGGTTCAAAATCAGGCTATAATTGAAATAAAGTGGGGCTAGCATTTAAATAGCCAATTTCTCCTATTTGATTTTATTAAAAAATAATAAAATAATTTCTGTAAAGAAATTAAAGGTACTAAAATAATTTATAGTATATAATTAATTATTTAAAAATATTGGACTTAATTTTTATAAATATAAACACAATTAAATCTAAAAGAGCCTAATATTGCAATTATATGCAATTTAGCTTTAAAAATACTAGATCAATTTAGAAAAATATGCCAAAAAATATCTTAGCTATATTTTAGTATAAATATGAGAGTCCAACAAATGAATTACCAAAAATGATAAATTTGGTAATTATTACTAGTTTTTTATGAATGAAATAGGGAAATAAATTAGTTTAAAAACCTTTAAAAGTTAAGAAAAAATAATAAGATATTTGAACACACTCATATATGCATACATCTGCTATTTTAAAAGTATTTTGCATATTAAAAATATATAGGGAAAAGCTGGGTATCAATAGTGGCGCGCGTGCATTAAAGTGGATTTTTGTGAACGTGTGGGCCATTTTAGGATGGGATAGTACTGACAAGCGATCCCTTTTCAAAAAAGAGATACTCTCTTTTTGTGTAAGCATACTCAATTTTGGGGGAGCAGAGTCAAAAGAGGGGGGGTGGATTCTTCAATCCCATTTTTGTAAATTGTATTTGGCTTTTTGGGAATGGAGATATTCCCTAAAGTGGCATCTTTTGAGATTGGGCCTGACTTAGGAAGATGTCATTTCATCCCAATCAACTTTGCTTGTGGGGATACTCTTGTTTTGACTTGGCCCACTTGTAAAGATAAACCTTTATCAGAGTTGGGCCTCAAAGACCTTAAGTCTTGTTGATTCTCCGCAGACCACCCCATAGAGCCCAAGTGTTCACCTGGGTCCAGATGTTCGTGGGTTTTGGGGTTGCTTCCGCAAGTGATGGTGGTTACCAGGGCGAGGAACGTACCTGTGGCTTCACTGTATCGTTTTACCTGGTCATGGGATTCTCTGCTCCGGCCGATCTTTATAAGCGATTTCCTTTATGGATTCCTTTTTTTCGCTTGAATGGGACCGTTTTCCACACAGTGTCTTCGCCAGGGACTGTACAGTGTTTGTGGTTATAGGATTTGGGTTAACTGGACTGTTGGTTTCATTGGCCTTAGAGGTGAATGGGCAGTATTGTAGTGTATGGCTAATTCTCCCACATTCCTTGCAGAGAATCTCTTCCCGCTCATAAAGGATGGGTTGATTGTGCATGCCAATGGTGACAGCGATGGCAACGGTAATGTCTAATAGAACCTGGACACAAATTCTAGCATACCTCTCCCTAAGGGTGGTGGAGGTACATGTATCTATTTTTAGTAATTTGCCAACCCTATTTTCCATTTTCTCGAGGAACGCCCTATCATAGAACTCCGTTGACAGTTGTGGGAGTCTCATCCAAATTGTTGTAATAGCAAGCTTGGATTCCGCTAGAAGAAAGTTTGGTTCCCATTTCCATATAGATATGAAATGGCCTATCACAAACCAAGATCCCTCTGCTAGGACTTTGTTCATGCTTGCGTCCAGGTTGAATTTGACGATGAAGAAGTCTCAACCCAAGTTGATTAGCGTTAGGGGTTCAATGAATTTCCAAAGATGTGCAAGCTTTGCTCGTAGTAACTGGTGGGAAATTTTTCTCCCAAATAGTTTCACTACTAGGGAGTATCTCCAGAGGAGGTATAACTTGTTCTTGTCTTCCTTTGACAAAGGGATATGGATATTCCCCGTATTTAATTCGAACAGGGTAGGAGAGTGGGTTAGTTCATATGAAGTGGTGGACATTAGATTCCTTTCCAGTAGGATCTCTTTGAAAGAATTTTTTTTGAGGAGTGTCCTCCTCCATTTCAAATTGGGAGGCTTCCATCGGGGAGTCCGATGGTTCCGATGGGATTTTGGAGGATGGATCCTTCGCCGGGGATGGAAATGTGGTCATGTTAGTGATATTTGGTTAGAGAGCGGAGAGGTGTGGTTTTTCCCTCTCTATAGTTTTTTTAAGTCCCACAATTATAATCGTCACTAGCCCACTCCACTCGTTTGTTAATACACTAGGAATAAAAGAATGCATGTTTTTCTCTTATTTTTTCTATTTATCTTATTTTCTAGTTTCTTATAGTAGCACTTTTCAACATGGTCAACACGATACAAGTTTACCGAGGTTAGAATTCTGTAAGAAAGTCAACGCGGATGGACCCACTTTCACTCAAGCCCACTATGCTCATATTTTTAATTTTTTTCTTTTGAGATAAAAAGAAACTGCTATATTCATGTATCTATATTTAAAAAATATTCCTTAATTGAGGGAGATGAATCTATAGATTTCCTAAACCACAACACGAGTTTTAGATGTAGCCATGTTACATTTTTATTTTCTTTAACTTGTAGTTTCTTAAAGTGAATCATAACCAACCCAATTAGAACTAACAAATCACAATAACAAAAACAAAAAACATAATGAATTTAAATATTCAACTACTAATTACTCCACTTTCATGTATATTTTCTCGTCGATCTCAAGATAATAATAAAAAAATATTGTCATATGCTTTTTACACTTACATGTTTTTATTAATTTGATTTTTATAATGTAAATGATGAGTCACATATCAATAATTTAGTGTACCTACATGCGACAGTAATAGCTTGTTTGGATCGTTGTTACACGTCGTTTCATAATGTATCGTATTATATTGTATTGTATTGTTTGATGAATACAATGGTTGGATAGAGTAGTGTTTTCCGTCATTTCATGTCACGCATAAAAAATATGAAGAATAAACTTGCAATATTACTAAGGTCTAAGAAAAAATAGGATACAAATAGAATTATTATATAAAAAAGTAGGGTGAAGGATAAAATATAATTATTTAATAATAAAGAAGGTCAAAATGAGAGGAAAAAATAAGGTAACGACGCCACCACACAAAATCTATCGTTACATAAAGTAGCACTTTTCAGCGTTACATAACGACGAATTTAACGATACAATAAAATTTAAGTAACAATCACGATAAATATTATGTTTAAAGTAACAATATGATACAATACAATAGGTAACAACCATCCAAACAAGCTATAAGAGAGGCTTTATTATGTCCAGCAGATTTATTGTGTGATATACTTGAGAAATTTGGATTAAAGGCAGATTTGGTTTTGTAGTCTATTACAAATATGATTTTAATTATAAGAAATTTCAGGTGATTCATCATTTACAGGAATATAAAATACATCTATTTTCTCAAAAGAAACGGTTTTACAATTATGTTGAAGCAAAACTAAACTTCAACATGAAACATCCTAAGTTTTATCAACAAATATTAAATAAAGTTTTATCAAGAAATATTAAATCTCAAAATGAATGTCGTTCTCCAAATAAGAACGGTTTGAAAAGATTTACTATCGAATTTATCTCTATGACTACTGTAAGGTGTGTGTGAGAAATTCTGTTTACGCTGATGGACTTCTATGGAAGTATATAATGTATGGGTTGAAATTTGGACTGGACTTAATAATTGTAAATGGACGTGATTGAGGATTAAGCCGACCATAGCACAATGGCGAGGAGTCGTCTTCAGAAGGATTAGTGCCGAGGTCAAGTAAAGAATGCGGAGCAACAATATAATAAGTTTAGAATAGAAAGAAGGAATATTTCATTGAATATTTCTTCTGTTGTACTTTTTAGGGTTTCTTAGGAATATCCCTTATAGATACAAAGAGATAAAGAACAAAAAGGGGATCTTCACTTTTCTGATAAGAGCACATTGTACAGGGTTGACTACAAGGAATATATAAAAGCTTATCTTGTCCACTGATTACATTGTTCGATATACGCTTTCTATTCACAAGATCCAAAGATTCCTTGTCCATCTTCATTTTCTAATACTTCACGTTGTTGTCAGGAAGGAGAATCATCCAAGTTATTGACACGTGTGTATTTATTAGCTATACAAGTGAGTTGGTAGTTATGTACAACTGTAGGTGTATGTAATAGTAGGTGTACGTAGTATAAATAGGTGTAGGTACTTTTTCTACTACACTGTATTCATTTTCATCCTGTATTATTTTTTATATTTGAGCAAAGTTCTTTTTCTAGTGAAATAGAAAAGAAACTTCCAGAATTCTCTCATCTATGGCTTCTCTCGTTCGCCGTTAGAGCTCACTCGAGGTGAGCTCATCCTTTTTATTTCCTCTACTAATTTGTCATGGTATCAAAGCGAAACTCTCGATCCTAAACTCAATCAGTCAATTTTCCTTTCTATTCGAAGCGTATCTCTACGGAGTGCTTCTATACGAATATCGAAATTTTTTCCAACTTTTCCTCTCAAATCGATCCTTGATAATTATGGCTATTGATGAAAACACAACGGATTCCACAAATCCGGCTTTGGATTTGACAAATCCGCTTTACATGCATCCATCTGAAAGCGCTGGTTCTATGCTTGTACCGGGACTTTTTGACGGATCAGGCTATACATCATGGAGAAGAGGAGTTCTGAGAGCTCTCTCAGTGAAGAATAAGGTAGGATTCATAAACGGGAAGTGTAGAAAGCCAGATCCTCAGGATCCTAGCTATGATCAGTGGGAACGCTACGATGACATGATCACATCGTGGATACTAAATTCTATCTCAAAGGACTTGGCGGGTAGTCTACAATATGTTAATGATGCTCAAGAACTTTGGAAAGAACTTGAAGACATATATGATCAAACAAACGGGGCAAAATTGTATCAGTTGCAGAGGGAGATAAATGATTTGAGTCAAGGAACCCTAGACATCAATGGGTACTATACTAAAATGAAGAAACTTTGGGAAGAACTAATCACATTGAATGCACACGCCCAGTGCAAATGCAATTGCACATGTGATGGTAAGGGGAATATGCAGAAAGCTGAGCAAGATAGAAGGCCGATTCAGTTTTTAATGTGACTAAACAAAGTCTACACTGTGGTCAGGGGAAGCATCTTAATGATGAATCCATTACCCTCACTCGCACAAGCTTTTTCAATTCTCATCCAAGAGGAGAAACAAAGAGAGGTCAAGCTAAACAATCAACTGGTGATTGAATCTACTGCCTTGAGTGCTAACAAATCAGGAGGAAATAACTTCAGGACAAACTTTAGTCAACAGACAAACATTGCAGACAATATTGGATATATGAACTACAATCAGCGGGGAACAGAACTGGAAACAACAACTACAGGGGAGGACAATTTGGGAATAGGCCACGACTTTTTTGTGACTATTGTAAGAAGTCGGGTCACATTAAGGAAAGATGCTACAAATTGCATGGTTACCCTCAAGATTCAAGGTTTAATAAGGGAAAGAGAATTGTTGTCAATGTACATGGAAGTCAAGGAGAGAGTGTTATTGAAGGTGGAGATGGAAACAATGGACCTGCACAGGAACAAGATAGAACTATGCAGAATCTTACTTAAGGAACAATATAATCAGCTGGTGAGCATCCTGGAGAATTTTCATGCTGGAAATGTAGGAAACGAAATGAAAGCAGGAGTTGTGAATTTTGCAGGCATCTCAACTTGTTCAACTCATTTTGATTTTGGTTCTAGCTCATATGAATGTTCTAGGTCTGTTGTTGACTCTTGGATACTTGACTCTGGGGCGGCATCAAACCATATGACTTATAACAGATCCATGTTAATCAATGTGAAAACCTTAGTTTACCCTTTCCAAGTTACTTTGCCCAATGGTTATAAGGTGAAGGTGACATTGATAGGAGATGTAGTAATTAGCCCTAAGTTCACTCTGAAAAGAGTTCTCTTTGTTCTCAGTTTCAAATTCAACCTAATCTCAGTGTATTGTTTGACAGTTCAGTTTGATTGCTTTGTTATATTCACCAAATTTATTTGCATCCTTCTGCAGGACCCTTCACTGAAGAGGCCTCTAGCAATTGGCGAAAGTAGGGATGGTCTGTATCTCTACAAATCAGATTCTTGCAAGTCCAACACTTCAGATTTCTGCAAGCCTAATTCCCTAGTCTTTGATAATTCAGCTAGTGCATCAAATAAAGGCGATGTAATCACTCAGTCTACTCCATCCATTATAACCAGTAGCAGTAGTGTTAGTCCACACTCTGGTTTATACATTGCATCTAGTTTACATAATTCCTTTTCTCCTACTACATCTAGATCCCACACTTCTTCTTCTGAATGTAATAAAATTGTCACCAACTCTCATTAGCAATATGAAGGAAATATTAGTCCTACATGCAATGCATCTATGAATGATAAATACATGATTGATCTCTTGTGGCACAATAGATTGGGACATGTATCCTTTGCCAAAATGAGAGGTATTGAATCCATACCCTTTCAATTTTCACCCAAATAGTCCTTCATTTGTCCAATATGACTAATGGCTAGACAAAACAGTCTGTCATTCCCAGAAAAAACTACAGTACAACCAAGATCTTTGAAATCCTACATGTAGACTTGTGGGGGGCCTATCATGTGCCAACACATGATAGGAATAAGTACTTTATCACCCTAGTAGATGACTACAACAGGTGCACCTGGACACACTTTCTTAGCTGCAAGAGCAATGCCCTGCAAGTAATCAAAGTTTTCTCTGCCATGGTGAAACACCAGTTCAATTGTTCCATTATGATCATCCGAATAGATAATGGCCTTGAGTTCATAAATTCTGAGACTGCTTCTTTCTTGCAGTCTGAGGGAATTATGCACCACAAACATGTCTCTATACACCTCAACAAAATGGCATAGTCAAAAGAAAACACAAGTACCTTTTGGAGACAGTCAGGGCACTGTTGTATCAGTCTAAACTTCCAATGCAATACCGGGGAGAATGTACTCTTACCTCAACATACTTGATTAACAGACTCCCTTCTACCACTCTTAAAAATAAATGTCCATTGGAGCTACTATACAAAAGAAAACCCAAATACTCTCACCTCAAAAGCTTTGGATGCCTCTGCTTTCCTACAAACCTCAAACCTCACAAAAGATAAATTTGAATCTAGATCCTTACATCATGTCTTTGTGGGATATCCTTTTGGGACGAAGGGCTACAAGGTACTCAATCTAGTAACAAAGAAAATTCATGTTTCAAGGGATATTGTATTTCATGAAGGTGTATTTCCTTTTGCTTTACACTCTAGCTCTAACACAGTCTTTCCCTCATTTCCACAAGTAAATGCAGAATTAGCACAAGAACTATTTTCTTCTCATAGGTAAACATCTATTCCTACTTTTCCTAGTACATCACTCCTAACAATGTTAACTGATACTTCATCACCAGGGGCAATAGAACCTAACCCTCATATGACTTCAAGTTCAGAAGTACAATGAAACTCATGAAACTCTGTCTAACAACACTCCTAATTCAATAATGAAAGAACCTAATGAGATTTCAGGAAGGCCATCCAGAGCCCTCAAAGTCCCCACTTACTTGAAAGATTACAACTATTCACTACCCAAATTACAAACGAATCATCCTGACTCTCCCTCCAGTAGTAACCAATGCACCACCTATCTTTCCTTCAATGCATCCATACCCAATGCCCAATGTGTCTCACTCAATGCCTTGAATTTTAATAGTCAGCAACTGATCAAAACTATTTCTCATGAGACTGAGCCCAGTTCATATGAGGAGGCAGTTGTTGATCTTGCTTGACAGGCAGCCATGAATCAAGAGTTTGAAACTCTTTATGCCAATCACACTTGAAGTCTTGTGCCTTTTCCAAGTGAAAAAAGGGCAATAGGTTGTAAGTGGGTATACAAGGTGAAGCACAAGGCAGATGGGAGCATAGAGAGATTGAAAGCAAGGCTAGAAGTAAAGGAATACACTGAGGAGGCTGGGGTAGACTACACATAAACCCTTTCACCAGTAGTTAAAATGATAATTGTTACGGCTCTAGTTGGGATAGTAGTAAAGAAAGGCTGGGATATTTTTCAATTGGATGTGAATAATGCATTACTTCATGGAGATCTTCATGAAGAGGTATACATGGAAGTACCTCCAGGCCTTACTGTATAAAGGTCAGACTTAGTATGCAAATTGAATAAGCCCTTATATGGGTTAAAACAAGCAAGCAGACAATGGTATGAGAAGTTGACTGAAGCACTTTGTTCCAGGAGATACACACATTCTTTATTAGACTATTCCTTGTTTTACAAAAGCATGGAGATTCAGTGGTGTTTTTGGCTGTCTATGTAGATGATGTCTTAGTGACAGGGACATATTTGCAAGAAATAGAAGCACTAAAGGTCTACTTACATAAGACCTTCAAAATAAAGGACTTAGGAAGATTACACTATTTTCTAGGACTAGAAATTCTATATAAAGGTGATGGAGTAAGGAAATTCACAATGGAATTACTATCAGAATTTGATTGTATGAAGTATTCAGCCTTGACCTCTCCACTAGATCCCACAAGCAAACTAAGTGCAGAAGAGGGGCCTTTGTTACCTGATCCTCCACACTTCAGAAAACTAGTGGGAAAATTGAATTACCCGACTAACACAACGTTTGAGTCAGTATATGCAAAGTCCTAGGGAGCCACACTTGAAGGCTGCATATCATGTGCTGAGATATCTCAAAGGGGATCCAAATCTAGGGATTTTTTTATCCAAAAACAAAGATTATAGAGTTCGAGCATTTTGTGATTCAGATTGGGCAGCTTGCCCTAACTCAAGAAAGTCAGTTAGTGGTTATATTGCATTGCTGGGTGATGGATCCTATCAGTTGAAAATGAAAGAAGCAACACACTATCTCATTGTCCTCAGCAGAAGCAGAATATAGAGCTGCCAGACAAGTTGTGGGAGAATTGGTATGGCTACTGAGGTTACTCGCAGAGACAGCCTCCTTGACATTTCCTGTGCCAGTCTTTTGTGACAGTCAAGCAGCACTGCATATAGCCAAGATTCCTATGTTCCATGAGTGTACAAAGCATTTAGAAGTAGACTGCCATTTTGTGAGAGATCAAGTACACGAGGGGCTCATCACACTACACCACATTTTCACGAATGAACAGCTGGCTGATATCTTCACTAAGCCCCTCACAGGGGTGAAACACTACAATTTACTTAGCAAGTCGGCTGTGAGTTTCTCCCTTCCAACTTGAGGGGGGGGGGGTATTGAGACACGTGTGTATTTATTAGCTATACAAGTGAGTTGGTAGTTATGTACAGCTGTAGGTGTATATAATAGTAGGTGTACGTAGTATAAATAGGTGTAGGTACTTTTTCTACTACACTGTATTCATTTTTGTCTGTATCATTTTTTATATTTTAGCTAAGTTCATTTTCTAGTGAAATAGAAAAGAAACGTCTAGAAGTCTCTCGGTTATGGCTTCTCTCATTTGCCATTAGAGCTCACTCGAGGTGAGCTCATCCTCTTCATTTCCTCTACTAATTTGTCACAAGTCATCTAACATTTGGGTAATAAATTCCTTCTAATTACATTCATAGTCATTATCTACATTTATTGCATGCTTTTATTACTGCATTCATTGGCAATCTTTGAGCATTTGTAGTTGGTATACAATATTTTCGGATTCAACCCTACATCATCAATACATCTAAACATTAGATCTAGCGGTTATTATATTTAACTAGAATTCACCCTCCATTTTCTCATTAATTCGTTAAGAAAAGGTTTAGCACTCTTTTGATAAAACATACCATGAGGAGTCGACACTATATTAAAACAAGATAACATTGCGATTCGATAATTAATTAGTCTAATTCAGTTTTTAGAAATTTATCATAGTAAACTTTATATAATGTATAAATAAATACTGGATCTTTGGGTCATGTTTATTTAAGATATATTTTCTGTTTTTTGTTTCTTTTTTCCTGTTTTAAAAGTGCAATATATTGTCGTAATGACTTATAATTTATTGGTAGGCAAAACACCTTAACGCCCCCCTAAACTTGACACGGAATATT